TCTTGGACTGCTAAGACTCTATCATATGCAGGAAGAGTCCAGTTAGTCCAAAGTGTTCTGTTTGGAATTCAGGCTTTCTGGGCACAATTATTCATTCTTCCAACTAAAGTGATCGGGATTGTAGAGGGACTATGCAGGTCCTATATTTGGTCTGGTACAAATGAAATAACAAAGAAGGCCTTGCTGGCCTGGGATAGAGTTTGCCTGCCTAAGGCAGGAGGTGGACTAAATATTGTTAACATGAAGTTGTGGAACAAAGCAACTATTGCCAAAAACTGCTGGGATTTAGCTCACAAGCAAGATAAGCTGTGAATCCGCTGGATTCATATATACTACATCAAGAACCAACAGATGAGTACAATGCCAATACCTCAGCAAGCTTGTTAGATGGTAAGGAAAGTAATAGAGGCAAATGGAATACTGGAAGCTAGACAGTTCATGCAAACTCACACAGAAGCTTGAACAGACAAATATATCTACGTTTACTTGGTGACTACAACAGGTGGAATGGAAAATATTGATGTTTAATAATGCAGCAAGACCAAAGGCAAAATTCATAATGTGGCTGATGATGCATGGGAGATTGATGACTTGTAACATGATAGCTAATTGGAAGATTACTGTTGATACACGATGTGTAATGTGCAGAAAAGCAGTGGAAACAAGAGATCATCTATTTGGGCAATGTGAATTTACTCAGCAAGTATGGATCAAAATGTGTAACTGGATGGAGAAGCAATTCATGGGGTTTGTCAATTGGCAGCAATTCATACAATGGTCAGTCGTATGTGCCAAAGGGAAAACCCAGCATGCTCAGGTCTTTAGAATGGTTTATGCAGAAGTTGCTTACCACATTTGGATGGAGAGAAACAGACGTATATTTGAACAAAAAAGTAGAGTATAGGAGCAGATTACAAAAGAAATAGCTTATGTTGTTAGTGTTAGAGTTACTCCTAGAAATAAGTCGTTTGTGTATAGCTTATATTTCTAGGTAGTAGAGTATAAAATGTATATGGATAGATAGCAAGTTATATTAGCTATGCTAAAGTTTTATAATTACTACTTGGTGATTAATAAAATAAGTTAGTTACCAAAAAAAAAGCTTCTAGCTGAGAATCATTCTTCCAAATCAATTCCGAATAACCTGAAAACCAAAATCGACGATTCACATAAGTCATAATACTTCATATAGAGCTACTCATACCCTCAAACAACCGAGCGAAGTGCAATTGCTCAAAACGACCGATCGGGTCGTTACAGAAGAGAAAGGATAAACCAATTCTTCTTGATACGCCATATTGGTTTAACCAAAGAAAGAATATTTCTTCTACCTATAATTGAGCAAAAATGGCTATTTAAGCAGGGAAGAATGAATACTTTTTGGAGTAAAATTTGTGTTCAGAGAAAGGTGAATTTGTGTATATATAAAGCTAAAAAAATAAAATAATGTGAATATACTTATGGAATAAATTCTTGGTGTAAGAAGTTCGAACTTATGAAGGATATTTCTCTTGAAAGGAATGTTGACTTAATTGGTGTAAATCATTGAACTAGAGACATCTCTAGAGTTATCTTCTTTGTATTAAGTTGTACTAGTTCCTTTGATAAAATAATTGGCTCACATTATAAAGTTGGAAGGAACACAGTTACTATAAATATATCATTTTCCCTACCTGCACTAATCCTAACAATAAAAGCCCGAAAAAGTCCTAAAAGGATTTTAAAAATCAATGTTGATTCTACATTAGTGGAGACTGACATGAAGGGCATGCTTATGGACAAAGTTTGAGAAACTCAAGGATTGTGATCATAATGTTATCAATCTCAAAAGGTTCGTCAATAGAAGGAGATGAAATTTTTTGTCAAACAAAAGCAGAAGTAGAAACAAGGTAAAGATTTGGTGACTTGAAAAACTTATAGGTTTTGAATGTTATGTGAATTTTTATTTTCTTACTTTTCTAGTTTACAAGAAACAATAATTACAAATAAAATAATTCTCCTCGAGGACGAGCAATGATTCAAGTACGGGGGAGTTTGATGAATATAAAATATTTATATATTATATACTTAAAAATATACTATTTTTAATAAAGTATTTATATAATATTTCGATTCTCTGTATTTTCTAACAATGTTTTGCAGGAGATAAGAATACGATTAATAAATCAAGAAAATGAAAGAAACGAGAAGGTTGTAACAAATTAACTTCACAATGCAAGAAGGTTACGACGCATCTTCTTCAAGATGCATCTTCCTCGGGACACATTCTCCTCACTACGTATCTTCTTCAGTTAAGATCACAACATTTAAAGAAGAAATGCACTTCTATAAATAGAAGGCAACTCTTTATGTAGTAGGCATCGAGGAAAAAGAAACAAAAGAGCCACTTTATTTTCTAAATCTTTGGTCTCTTAATCTTTCTTGTTCTTCTTTCATTACTTCTTGTAATTTTCAGATTTCCGAAAAGTGTTGGCAATATGAGCCATATTATAGAAGTCCTTTCTTTTTTAAATACTCGATAATGGAGTAGTGTCTTTTTGTTGGGATAGTTGATGAAGCTTGATATGTATTTTTATCATAGTTTTCTCAATCTTATTACATACTTGGCCTGGGATTCTCTAGCTACACTTTTATATTGTGCTGAGATGTTAGATTTTAATTAGTCACATCTTTCTATGTATTTCTAAAGTTATTTGTGTTGATTTTGTAATTCTCACGAAGCAAAATCGATACATACTGACCAGAGTGAATCAATAGATAGAGGGTAATTTTCAGCAATCTAGCATTCCAAATCTTGATTTTTGCTTACTTCAATTTTAATTCTCACGAAGAATTGTTATAAGCAATATCATTGACTTCTTCATAAAGATAATTTCAAGAGGTCTTTACTACTTCTTGGCAGAATTCAGGCAAGACATATATTTCGGTTTTATCATCACTAGTCGTAAGTCAGTTAATAATATAACCTCAAGGAGTATTATTAATTATTTACCTTCTAGTGAGCAAGACATAATTGTATTAGAAATAAGCAATTATTCATTAGTGAAATATATATAGAAATTGAGATTTCAATATCGCCAAGTGAATTCAATGATTCCCAATATCCCTAAAAAGGCTAATTCTTCTACATGATAGTGTATCCTTAAAAGTTGGTACATTTGTAGTAAAGCTATCAAATGAGTGGTTCACAAATAAGACAGTGTCAGCTTCCTAAATGACTCTTGGATCCCCAACCACCCACCCATCAGGAGCATGATCGAGGGTCCTCTTACACAAACTGATCATTTGGCTAAAATGGCCACCATTTTATAGCAATGGTGCTTGGGACACCTCCTCCATATACTTAAGCATCCCTCATAACATCAGAGATCTAATTTAATCTACTTTCGTCCCACTCAGTCCCATAAAAGGAGGATAAAACGATTTGGTGAAAAACAAGCAATGACCTTCAACACTAAATCAGCCTATACCCTCCTTGCAAATAAAACTCTCCAAAATCTGGAAGGGAAAAATAACAGCTACATGTGAATTTTGAAGCTAAGGGTCCCTAACAAGATCAAGACCTTCATATGACTTTTATACCGTGGAAGGCTTCCTACATGGGCCTATCTTCAGAAAATTGGGGTCCCTTATAATCCCCCTGTGCTGCTTCTGCTCTGCTGAATTGAGACCTTTTTGGAAGAACAACAATCGTGGCAGTTCCTTCGGTGTTTGCAAATGAAACTTTTTGGACAGACATTCTAGAGACTATTTTTTCTAAAAAGATTTTGGATTATAATATTAATACTGTGGAACAAAACTTAGTGAGCACGTCATACGATATATCTATTTCCCTTTAGTTGCTAATATATATAATCACTCTATTAACCAAAAAAAAAATATATATTACAAACTAGTGTAATATGGAAGTACTTAAACCAAGGAGCCCCACGGTAAACAAAGGAGATTTACTCCATTAAAGTTTCAATCCGTTGAATTTTTGAAATTCCACATTGGATGTGGAAAATAGACTAGTCATTAGGCAGTAGTCCACCCATTTCTCATTAAAGTACTTGTCCATCACATGTTATATTGGGCTATAGCTTGGATTACAAATTTCTTGCTTAAATTGAATTTTAATTTATTGGTGTAAGATTTTATTTAAATAGTTTTTAGCATAATGACTAATCAATTCATTGTGCAGTTAAACCTTTTAAAACTTTATAACCCTTCAAATATAAATGCGTATTTTCTATAAATAAAAATGTCTTTGTTTAGTTAATAGTAGCCTTTGTTGTATTATAACAAGAGCATTATTTATTCTTTCTAAAAGTCGGACAAACATTTTCAGAGTAAGTGCTTATACATATTTTCTTTTCTTTGTTGCGATCATATATTTATGTGGAGAAAAGTTCAACATCATTTAGATGATCGGGACTTAACATATAAAGTATATGACTCGTGTTTTTTGCACTATGATAGTCAAAAGCTAAATAGTGGACAATTCAAATACACAAAATAATATAATAGGAATAAGAAAATTCAAAATTTGATTTATGGTTAGCAAAGTACATTAAAGATAACTTGTGAATTTATCTTCGTATCATCTTTATATAATTATAATTAAAAAAAATATGTTTTTACAGAAAAAATAAAAATATAAATGACCAAGTATATGATACGTATAGTTACCTTACATAAATTTGTGAAGATAATTTTTACGAAAGAAGTCTCAAAGCATGGCATTTTAATAATCAAAGAAAATAGAGCTAAAGAATTTTTTTTTACGAAATTTAATTTTTGGTGGACATAATGATCTGATACTAATATTTACTCGATAAAGTAGTAGAAGTAAGACCACTATCATAAAAAAGAAAATTTTAGAAATTATGCAATTTGGATGAAGAAAAAAAAAGAAAAAAAGAAAGAGATTTATGGTGCAATTCCACAATATCCGAAACTTATGGGTTCTTTTAGAAAATATTAGTTCTAAGTTTCATAGATGAAACCCTAAAGCCGTCCTGCTACATATATAGCTGCAGCCGAACTAAATCGTCTCCTCTGAAGTCTGAATTGAACCAACCTCTGTATTCAAGACCAGCAGAAGTCTCATCAGCAACAACACCATGGTAATAAAATCTCTCGAAATCACTACTTTCTCTTGTATTAATGCATAGTTTGAATGTAATTAGCTGCTTTATCTTTAGAATAGCGTCAGTTCAATCCTTGGGTAATTTGGGTTTTTACTTAGATTAGTAATTGTTCTGGATTTGTAATCACAAGTTTGTGCTTTTCCTCGTGAAAATCAGGGTAATTTAGATCTTGCTTAAAGACATGGTCCCCATTTTTAATCTCTTGCTTAAAAAAACACGAGCGGAAAGCATAACTTTACAATGTTTACATATCATATCAGGATTTTATTAGAAAAAAAAGATATCAGGCTTTAAATTTTCCGAAAAGTGATGCAAATCTTGTACATCACATTTTGGGCGTGTATAATGGCTGAATAAAGTTTTGCTTAAATGAAGATAAAAATGTGAAACTTATGATTAGTTGGTTAGATTTTTTGGACAAGTCTTAGATGGATTTGAAGTGATGTAAAATCAGATATAGCTCATAATTTCTTATTTTAGACAAGTGATGCATAAAGTTTAGCTATATAAATAAACTGCGCTGAACCTTGAAGCTATTTGGTTTAATTTTGTTTGTAAATTTGTTGTTTGCTCGGTTGACATTCATGAAATAACGATGCCTTGATGTGGAGTTTCAGAATGTGAAGGAAAGAATTGTCGGTGGGAAGTTTTCTAATGTTAATGATTTGTTGTATTGTTGATGACTTGGCCTTGCAGTCGAAGAGGAGGACTAGGGAGCCAAAGGAAGAGACTGTCACCCTTGGACCTGCTACGAGAGAGGGAGAGCTTGTTTTTGGTGTTGCCCACATTTTTGCATCATTCAATGACACTTTCATTGTATGTAGTAACCATTGAATTCAGTGTTCTCTATTATCTGATTACGTTGTTTCAAGTAGTTACAGACTTTTGTTGTTGAACTGCAGCACGTGACTGATTTGTCTGGAAGGGAAACAATGGTTCGTATTACTGGTAAGGACTATACCTTTTCACTCAGTAGGCTTATTTAAATCTGAATATCTTGGTACTTTGCTTGGGATGTTGTTGAGGAACGGATAAATTAAGAGCTCAAATGTAACATAACCTGGCTTTTATTTGCTTCGTTTTCATTAAAAACTAAGATATTCAATTGTAAGCTCTGTTTCGACAACAGAAAATAACCAGTGGAATACCATCTTTGCCATGCATTTTCTTATATTATTTGATGTATACCTTGATTCTAACTTTGACAGGCATTTCACAAAATCAACATTTGGTTTCATTGGGAGTTGGTTGCGTTGGTTTCACTTATAATTCCTGTCACATTATAGATGCTGTTTGAAAATTAATTTAATGTTATAATTCGTGCATATTGTTATTACTATGTTCTTCTAGTTGACATCTGTTGTGGTTTATTCTGAGTTCGGTGAAAATTCTTAGCTGCTACTGCTTATCTCAAGCATTATGGCCCATGCTACTTCTGTTATGTTTATTTTGTTTGGAAATTGAATGGATATGTTACTTTTGCATTATTTATGGTTATGTTGAACTTCACAAGTTCTTTTGTCGTTCCTAGTTATTATTGTTTTTTTTCTTCTTGTCTATCCTTTCAAAAGTAGCCTATAATCTTTGAAGCATTAGGTACTGAAGTTCCGCTACTTAGAATCCTGGTTCTTCCTTTGCCAACTATGCACTTCCTCAAGTTCTTCAGTATAGCTATTCCTATTCCCATACACTTCCTCTAGTTCTTCAGTATAGCTATTACTAGTCCATACTTGGCTTCTAAACTCACATATTCTGCATTCCTCTAGTGAAGTTTCAGTAGTTCTGAATTGCAAGCTTGTTATTATTGTGACTATTTAAGCACTTCAAACTCTACATCCTAGCATGACTGTTCAATAATCTTAGCTTAAATTTCTACATAACCAACTTTGTGCTTTTGTTTTCTCTTTTACATTGCAACCATATGCTTTACACTTCCTCTTAGACGTTAAGAACCTTTGCTTTCTCAATGTCATTCTGGTGCAACAATCTTTGTTAACATGTCAGCATAGGTGTTTTCTTATCACTCTCTTAACTTGAATGGTTTGAAGGATTGCTAGATTTTCCATTGATGTTTTAGGGCTCCAAAGCTTATCTACGTTTTCTGCTTTTTACGATTATCTTTATTATTTATAGGAACAAATTGTAATGAATCTCTGCTGTCACCTGTTTCTAATAGGTGGTATGAAGGTCAAAGCCGATAGGGATGAATCTTCCCCATATGCTGCTATGCTTGCTGCACAAGATGTTTCTCAGCGATGCAAGGTCTTAGCTTATGTTCAGTTTTTATTTTCTTACGTCCCTTACCGGCTGCCATCAGTTGCATAATGTGTTTCCTTTTTTGCCGACGCTCATTTGGATAATGTCTCCTTGAGTACAGGAGCTTGGCATTAATGCACTTCACATTAAGCTTCGAGCTACAGGTGGAAACAAGACTAAAACACCTGGGCCTGGTGCTCAGTCTGCTCTCAGGGCTCTTGCTCGCTCAGGGATGAAAATTGGCCGTATAGGTATTGCTTAGCCTTCCTTCTAGCTTTTGTGTACCAAAAGTTAAGAACTATATGCAGTCGGTTATGTTACTAAAACTTTCATATAGGGCACAAGTAATGGTTTGTATTTTTTACGGGACACGTTTAATGTGGGTGATCATAATTGACTTTATTATTTTGCAGAGGATGTAACACCAATTCCTACTGATAGCACCCGTAGAAAGGGTGGTAGGAGAGGAAGAAGGCTGTAAGCTTGCTGCTCTTGTCAAGAAGCAAAATCGGATTCTTGTTGAGAATGTTGCAGGTGTTAGTTTTGATATGATCTTAAATCTTGCTCATCTACTATGTAGTTCTATTGACGTTGGCCTTGCCTATAGATTTTGCTTCCTTTTTCGTGGTTAAATTTGTGAAACATTTATGAAGACTATGAATTGTGGCCTACAATCTAGTTATATTTCATCTGCTTGTAGTAGAAATGATTCATCGCGTTTGCTTTAGTTTCGGATACCTACCATCCTATTAGGCATTGGGGGCATTTTCATATATACCTATTTTTTGGGCCACCATTGAAGTTATACTTGCATTGCACAAAATTTTGCAAGGTGTACCTGCCCGAATCTAAAGTAGTTCAATCTCTTCAATTGAGCTTTAGAAATCAAATCTGAAATTGTTCTATCCTTCAAATGCACTTCAGAAATTAAAATCTTAAGTAGTTTAATTTCTTCAATGCAATTTCAGATTTTTAATTTGAAGTTAAGCTTTTCAAAGCCTAAACTTCAGACATAAAAATGTGAAAGTATCTTTATAATACTCGAGCCAACTTAAACCCACAATTGTTGCCCCACAAATCATATGTCTGCTTCATTAGAAGAGCAACCAAGTTGCTGCTAGAACATGTGCAGCGGAAGCAAGCATACAATTCAGGCATTAAATACATGTAAATTAGACAACGCAATAATAACGAGATTAGAAGCATTAACCTCTTGAAATAGTTGCACTGATCTTACTTGGACGATTTTTGCTTTTGGGTGGGCAAGAATAATACAACAATAAAAAGGTCAGTTATTGGGTGAAATTAGTCTTCCTTTAATAGACTTATTTTGGACGAAATTTAGCTTCAAAAACGTGTAGGATTCTGCTTTTACAAGTAGAATCCTACTCCAGCTCTACTAGATGACTTTTTTCCCAAGTCTTGTCCAGGTTTTTACTAGGTATAGCAGGGGCCACAGAAATAATAAGAGGCTACCAATTATAGCATTAATTCGAAATTAGCATGAATTAATCCTTACTATAATTAATTGCAATTTATTCCACTAAAAAACTGCAATTGAACTCCTCAATATGAATTTCGAAAATTCAATAACACTTATTTTAACTCCCCATATTAAGATCTCAAATACCAGTTAATTAAATTAAATCACTAAAAATTTAATTTAACCAACTAATTAAATCCTTTACAATTCCGCTTAAACTATTTCATGTGACGGATACAAAATCCACTGGCCGGGTTTTCACATGAAAACTTATAAGCTTAGATAAAGGGGTATCATCAAACTCAAAACCGAGTCATGGATTCTATCAACTAATTATTATTCACAAATGTTATTCATTATTGTCCAATCTATTAGGCATACACTAACTCTAAATAGAGTCGTATCTTTTGATAAATCAAAACAATAAATAAATTACATTGATCATAATAATTATATCAAGATTAGGAGTATAAGCTCATTTAATGAATTAGAGAAAGTGTTTTATATGTATTCAGTACAAAAACATCTTTTCTCTACTTGGTCCGTTCAATATACACTGAGTATACTAGCACAAGAAGTTGGAGTAAAACTACTCCCATAATCAAGATAAATTGTACGATAATCTGTGCTACAATCATCACGATATTTTGTCCAATAATATCTTTGATTGTGAACATAATTTATTAATTATGAGAACCAACAATTTAATCTTCTGTGCATGAGCTAAGACTCCATACACTAAATTGTCTACTACATAACTAAAAGGACGCACATGTAACAAATGATCTATTTAAAATAGTACTTTATTGAATTGAATAAATTAAATAAATAATTGTTCCATAAAAAATAAAATATAATACTATATCTAAACCGCATGGTTAATAGTATATCCCAACAGTTACCTGTTGAGTGATGTAACAATGAAATTGAAAGGAAAATAGACATACCTGGGAACAATTTGGAAAACATAATGGGTAAACAAAGTTCTTTTGGATGGCGCTTTTGATACCAAAGCACACAAAGATTTGTGATTAAGGAGGTTGTTCTTTTATGTCCATCTACGCCAGATTAAGGAAATAAAAAAGGAGAAGAAAAAGCAGTAGCAACAACAGCGGGCAGCAGCAACGATCTAAATTTAGCCTGCTCAGTGATCTGAAGCCCAAGTTAAAAAAATTAAAAAGTGGGTACAGGTTTCATGAAAGTTTTACCTCTGGATTTCTAAAGACTGGCACTGAACTATGGCGTCGCACAGGATCTATATAATTTTAACTTTCTTTCTAGGATGTACTTTGAATGAGATAGTGTAGTTTTCCATATTTTAATTACCATCCATCTATCTAACCCAGTTTGTGTTGGATGATTTGATGGAGTAAAATTATACTCCTTTTTTGTTGGGTGTATGGTAAATTCCTTGGGATTTACAAAGCCAAATGACTTTAAGTTAAGCAAAAATCTTGAATTCCAACAAGAATACAAATGGAGAAGTCCTGGCAAAATAGATTTAGCTGTTTTGAGAAGGCACTTTGATAATAGGCATCTAATCGACTAATCTAATTTGAAATTTAAAAACATTTAAAATTAAAAACTTGATTCTACTAAGAGCACAATGAAAAAGTCATTTCTGGTAAAAACAGATTTAACGAATTTTGTAAAGGAACTTAGAATAGTCATCTTAAAATTCAAAAACGTTTAAAATAAACGCATTAAAAATGTACAAAAAAATTTAAAAAATAGCTGAAGTTAAATATTCTATAACTTGCCTACTCTTCTATTCTCAAATCACTAGTATCCGTACCCGAGTGTTGCGCGAAAGATGTAAAGTATAACATTTGGAAAAAAAAATTTATTTGGAACTTTTTAGTATTGAGCCTATACATTGACAATTGGAAGGAACTATGAGATCAGCAAAAATAAAGGTAGAGCTTTCAACTTATAATTTCTATTCTCTGTATCAAGATGCTGTCATTATAAATAGTAATATAGATTCATCAACAGCTCCAAAGGCTAACTTCTACCTGGACAAATACTTAAATTGCTACTCAATAATTAGATGTAAATCAACTCCATGCCATAATGTATGAATATGTGAAGTATGCACTCACATTCATCATGGGATTCTTGACAGACGAGCCAAGGTAAGCTTCACTAATTTCCTTCATCTTTGTCAGCACCACAGAAGAGATTTCTTTAGCAACAAACTGCATCTCTTCACTCTTGTTGTTTTATAATAATCATTAGCTTATCACCAGGTCCAGGAAAAACCTTAATAGGCCACAATTTCATGTCGCCCAATACATATGCATTACTAAACCTCTTGTCAATAAGCCGCTTTGCATCTGCAATGTAAATCACAATGAGAACTGCATAATAGAACTGAAACCATATAAATACGACTTGGATTACAGCACAAAACCTATGAAAAAGTAAATTACATGGGAAGGTACAAAAGTTCCATTAAACAAATATGGACAACTCAATAAATGGGATATATGTCATTAACAAATATGAGCAAAATGAAGCGTAGGACCTGAAACTCATATATTTTGTTCCTGCAACGTGTTTGATTTAAAAATCAGACTACTTCTGATTTTTAAATGGGATATATGTCATTAACAAATATGAGCAAAATGAAGCGTAGGACCTGAAACTCATATATTTTGTTCCTGCAACGTGTTTGATTTAAAAATCAGACTACTTCTGGCAATGGATGAAGCATGCATTAAGATATGATATCCTTGAAGATAAAAACAGTTCCAGAATTCCCTTGACTTAGATTACCCTAGCCTACTAAAGAAACGAAAGGGTTACAGACCATGACATCACAAGTCAAAAACAAACATCTATATACAGCTACTGAGAAAAGGATTTAATTAATCCCACATTGTTTCTTATAAAATTTTATGTCAAGATCAATACAACTTTTCTTACACTAACCACAATCACGCAAAGCACCAAAATATTACTTTGTGTTCTTGGACAGGGGTGCTTCCTCTATGTGGAAAGATAAAATAAGTGTGATAGAATTCTGTTGAATTAGGGAAATTGACTATGTAGTATTTTATCTCCTATGAAATTAGATTGTTGATCATGTGATGAAAGCACTCATTTCATCTATTGAAATAAACCTTATAAATTAAGGATGAAGCAAAACATATGATTACAGTAAAACTGAAGACTTTATATACTTCCTTTTGCATAGGCATATTACGGAAGTATATATGCATATTTTCAGAATTTGCAGTAGTTTAAGAGACCAAACAACTGTCAAGAAACATTGTAAATTATTTTGACAGAATATGCATATTTTTAGAATTCGCAGCAGTTTCAAAGACATATAGGAGGAACATAATATTTTTTTTTCCTTAGATTAATTATTAGGATGTATTATATTGGTAATAATTTGTTAGTGCTGAAAATTGGTAATCAGAAACAGAAGTAGAAATAAGTCTACAATACATAATCACTTCAAGTAGGTAGTTTCATCTATTTGAGGATTGCTAGAAATTAATAAATAATTGTGAAAGTAACGTTACAAACCGACAGAGAAATAAGGGTGCGAAGCAAATAATCTCACGCTTGCATTTTCATGTACTTCAAAAGTTTAGAAAATTTATCAACCATAGCAGCAGAGAAGGGAAAGTATAAAATAAAAGCAATTATAAAGATGTTACCTTTTCATCTTGTAAAATCAACTCCATAGAATATGGTATTTCTGGGTTGAAGCCATTCGGGATTTTCCATATTCGAACTACTCTAACTTTCAAATTCCATTGCATCAAGTGGCTTGAAATTTGTCTAATCTCATGAAGTATTGTAGCCATATTTGCAAAGTTCTGTAAAAAGGGAATGAAAAAGAAATTAAAAGGAGAAACCGCATAAAATATTATTTGTAGTTATGGAGAAAGTGGATAAGTTATAGAGTTAGGTTAGGATACCCACGTTTGGGAAGATGATCGTGTTTTTTTTTTAAATCTTTCTTTCCGTTTCTATGTTAAATCTATCTATATTGTTTAAAACCGGCCAATTCCAAACGTGGGAGTCAATTCCAGACGTGGATCAAAGTAATTTTTTTTATTGAATTTTTAGTTTTAAAAAATTAAAAAAAAAACATCCCAACAAATGTGGGACTCTATGTAGATGTCAACTGAATTGGAAGTTATAAACTTTGTGAACTTCTTTAAAAAAGAAAAAAAACACAACAAACATGGGCCTCAAATATTAATGTAAACTGAATTACTCAATTC